AAATCAGGGTGGAATCAGGATAAATAGAATCTTGGAAACCTGCAAATAGATTGAAATTAAAATGCTCCATCAGTTCTATGCTTAAATACATGGTCGTGAGATCATATGCGGTGACTTTAACCCACCTGAAATCATGTGGGATTCACTTACTGGTCCAGCTAGGTATGACGACTTTTTCTATTCGCTGGCTATTTTTGGATGGAGGCAAATTGTTACTACTCCTACAAAAGGTGACAACGCATTGGACTTAATATTTTGCCACAACATAGTTCCTATTCTGATAAATGTAAGCTACAAGTTCCCAGCAGGTGATCACAAGGCGGTATTATCCAAACTATCACTTCCTTCAACTAACACTTCAGTTTGTATATCCACTCCATACAAAACAGTATACCGAGACTACGGTAGGAAGGATTGGCAGTAGGTGTGTCCAATGATTAGGTGCATCGACCGGGGGCCATACTGCACCACTGCAGACCTCATATTAGCCATTGATACATTTTACTACAACTGCGAAACCTGTCTCGATACCATTGTTCCATCGAAAGGTTTCAAAAAATGTCACCAAACAATAAACCATATATACCTCCCGGTGCTCGTAGAAAGTTACGCAAACTCTCGGCAAGATACCACAGACATCGCGACTTCGATGCACTTTGGTTGATTCTTAGTATTCTTACCCCATCTCGCATAACCATGGTTTTTGCTTGAAGAATGAAGAGAATGGTGCGCCAGCCAGCTCATCTAGAGCATATGCCCCCTCGGCACTCCTTAAGAAGCGACGGAATAGCATAAGACATAACATTCCTCCGCTTATCCACGACACCAAAGCTTACAATAATCCAGTGCATATGTGTGAAATGTTCAGCGGCTAATTTACACTTAATTATCTGAAACCTATGAATTTTTCGTGTGATACAAATTCTGTCTGCACTGTTAAGAGTTATTCTGCTCCCTCATTAAAGACAGTGGATACAATTGAATTCACTTATTCGAATATTCACATAGCAATTGGAAGGCTGAAGTGTTCCAACAACGCAGACATAGACGGAGAATCACCACATATCTTTAAACTTGATGGACCTGATATTCCGTTATTAGTGCTGAAAATAATTTTCCCTATCTGGAATCTTGCATATACCCCTGTAGCGTCACACACTTCCTCAAAATCAATTGCCACGGGTTCGACGAGAATCAACTTTGATGCTGACCTTGATAGTTTAACTGGACTCGACAAGCTGAACACACCCGGTCAAGTATCCTCGTCATTTGGCACGCTGTCGTGTTACGTCGCACTGCTCGTATTCGACTCTCTAGCCAGTTAGTTGGAACACATCGGTATCCTGGCACAACCACCCAAATATACTACTCCATCCGACTACGCTATTGTGTTCTTCCTTGGTCTCGTATTCGTGGGTATATAACAAGTTCGAATAACTAGTGATTGGCCTCTGTGTCCGTCAAGTTCGCACCGGGACAATTCCTAAAATTGGTGAGCTCGACGTGATAACAAATCCCGACCAAGAACAAATCTTAAATTGGTGAGCCCGTTCAATTCGTTCACTTGTATATTGTTTCCATTTTGATAACCCTTATTTATCCACGAACAACTCCTTCCTACCTCTGACCATACTCCAAAGCTTATCCATACTAAGCCGACGACGAATACTATCCAACTCATGCCATGCTGGTCAGACAGTGCGGAAACACGGTTCATGTATGCCGTAGCAGATTTTCGAGAACAGGGAGTCGCAGATCCTCATTCTCGATTTCTCGCCATCATACGTTCACTACCGCGGGAATTAAACTGGCATGTTACGGCACATATGTTTAGTGCTGAAGTGATCCTTATACACTTCTCAAAGCTGAACTACTGAGGAAACGTGATTTCATGGACCGCCAGCGCCTAGACGAATTGCTTTGTAACATCAGGCTAGACAGCCACTCAGCTACTGAAGTCTTCACACGCATGCGAGAAGTTATGGGTGCATGAACACTCGATGATGGCCTTTTCCGAAAACTATTTCACCCAAAACTACCACAACCGGTGCAAACCGTGTTAGCGACACTTCAGTCAGTTTCACTCAATGACTTGGCAGCCTCAGTAGATAAATTGCTGGAGATATCTAGTAGACCCGTCTCTGACGTATATTCTGTCTGCGATAAACCTGAGAGCCAGGATTCAGAGGTGACCAAGCTGTGCAACTCTGTTAAACAGCTGCGACAAGCTCGAAGCTCTAGGTTGCAAAGCAGATCACGGAAACGCATCTCTGCCCATCGCAGCAACTCGTGTGGTTGCCTCAAAACTAAACCTAACAGGGTGGAAAACCCGAAACGGTGCTGATTTCACAATACCTACCCGGATGAAGCCAGAAAATGCTGGAATCCATCCAGTTTCATTATGGACACAAACTCGGGAAACTGTAACGCCGGCGTGCGTTCACGGCAACCACAGCCGGCGAAAACAGCCGTTTACTTTAAGTCATGGATATAAAAACGAAAGTTCGCTACCTCGTCGACGCCGGTGCGGAAGTTGGCGTTCTTCCCACACCGACAAAGGAGCTTCATCTTGACCCATCCTTCAATCTCCAAGCAGCCAACGGCAAGGCAATCGCGACGTTTGGGAGACAGCATGCCTACCTCAGCTAAGGTTTACGTAAACCTATTCACTGGATTTTTCTCCTGGCTGATGTTCCTATGCCCATCATTGCCATAGATTTGCCAAACCATTACGATTTACTCGCAGGTGCTTGCCGTCGATGTCTGATAGATAACGACACAAAGTTACCTACTGGCGGCACCACCTACGTAGGTTCGAGTTTAGCCATCGTTAGAACTAAGCAATCAGGGAACGTGTTCCATCAGGCTGTGTTAGAGAAATATCAAGAGCTACAACAACCGAAGCATACTCTTGCGTGAATAACCAGCAATTTTATGCATCACGTCACAACCACAGGTTCACCTGTAGCATTCGGAGCACGCCGTCTGGCCCTTGACAAACTCAAAGCGGCGAAAAGTGAATTCGACCACATGCTCAAACTGGGCATTATCAAACCTTCGAGTGGCCCTTGGGCATCACTAGTGATTATGGTCTACAAAAACAGTGGCCAAAAATATCGAAAATGTTGACGATATGTCTAGTACTGCACAATTACAACAATCACCGGCACAACAAAAAACACGATCAGTTTGGACCGTCGGGTTCCCGAAGTATATAGAGACATATTCTGCCAAGTAGTTTGACTTAAAATTTGCCATTCATTCCTACACTCAATTTTTTTCAAGGCAACATTTTTTTAAATACCGGGAATGCAAACGTTCTCTGACATTTTACCTTTTTTGGTACCATTTGTTTTACTACCACCTAATTATACTTTACCAAAAAATGGAAATATGTATAAGATCTATTTTCGGTGCATATACATATAAATGCTTCCCATTTTTACGAAGCGTTTTCGTGGTATTAGAGGCTTATTTATATCCCAGGTGTAACGAACACTGAACCAAACGTCATAGGACACTGAGGGCCGCGATCGACGTACAGTTAGATTTATTGCATTTTATTTTTCATTCACCATGACGCCCTAGAATAAGTTCAGGCAACCAGGGGCTACTTCTCACAGTGAGCCCATCGGAAGGGTTTTGTCAGTAGGGAAACCACTGGGCTTTTACTTCCGGATGGTATTGTCTTTGGGTCCTCATGAACCCATAAGGGGGAGTGATCCGTAGCATCACACACTTCGACGAGACTCCACATTGGTCCTAACCTTCAAGTTTCAACTGGACTCGCTAAGCTGAAAGCATCCAGTCAAGCATCTTCGCCATTTGGCATGCTGTCGTGTTACGTTGCACTGCTCGTAAGCGACAATCTAGACAGCTAGTTAGAACGCATCGGTATCTTGGCACGGCTTCTCAAATACACTTTTCCATCCGACTACGCTACCGTGTTCTTTCTTCGTCTCGTATTTGCCTGTATATAACAAGTCCGAATAATTAGTGATTGGCCTGCCTCTGTGTCTATCAAGTTCGCACCAGGACAGTTCTTAACGAACTCCCTACCTCGCAAGTAGTGTCAGCCCCTTCGGTCACTGCATTCCGGAAGAAACTAAACCTTCATAGAGATATTTTAGGCAACGATTTACACAGGACAGCTGACTTACTATTTTTATTATTTCAGACTGAAGAATACTGGATAAAATTTTAAGAAATGACTTTGTATCTTTCCTCAGTCTACTGAATCTGACTTACTGATTTAAATTGCAAACGTCCCTAAGAGCTATTAACCAGTATGATAAAGCTGGATGATCTTTTAGGTACAACAAGTGAATACAGTGGCAAATTCAAGCCCTGTTGTTGTTTGTCCTTGTAACTGTTGTTGTCACATTTTGACCTTTATAATAATGGGCAATTTGAAGTAGTTCGTAGGTTGCGTTTTATGCTTTCCCCCCCCCCACTCATTTTTAAGGTTATTCAGCATAATGATTTAATAAATACGTCATTTCAAAATAATAACGAAGTTGCTTCGTTTGAATAGGTCTAGAAATAGGAGACGGTATTGTACGGAGGCACATATATAGCTCCCAGCAGAGATAATCGTACCTGCATACATAGTCATATAAACTACTCAGTTGGTGTCAAGTAAGTGGAACTTCTTCTGGAGACTACTTCTGATAAGTTCCTAGGTAAAGTTGCCCAGTGGAGCATAACTACTCACTCATTACGCAATGAGTGTCCAAGCCAACCTATGAGGGGAATCTAAAAAGGATTAATGGAACAAAAGCTTAATGTTGAAATAAAACGACCATGATGAAGAAATGAAGCAAATTTCTCCTTTTAATATCCTCACACGTGAAAAAACTAGCCCAGCTACTGTATCTTATTGAAGTAGAGCGTAACCCGATATGCAGGATTCATACTCTGACCACTTCATTATCTATTTCAAATCTTAAAGCTGTTCACTTTGTAGTTCCAAATTATATTAGCGATTTTGAAAGGCATATATGGTTGAATATGTGATCCGTTAGTTGCTTTATCCATCCGTGAATGTTTTTCATCGTTGAATAAGCGATTAAAATTTGAATACAACCAACCATTTCAGCTTCTATATTTCACATATTTCCTCAGGCAGCGTTTTTAAAGGCAAAGGTTTGAAACATGGGAAAATCCTAGTGTTGTAACACAAAATATTCAAAGTACTTATTTTGCGTTTACATGCATTTATTTAAACAGCGGGTTTCTGAGTACATCTTATTCTGATCAACTAGAGGTACGGTGGTTAGTATGCAAAAGCGTCTTTCTGAGGTTATTAAGAATAGTGGAGATTGGTATTCAAAGTGAATAGATCAACATGAGAAAGTGTGTCACGTTTCAAGCAGAAAGTATTACTCATAAACATATCATTTTGATATTAGTGAGAGCAATGGTTTATGCTTAAAACACCATACGTTAAGTACTACTGTATCACTGCATGAGCTATGTCAAGCAAACAAATCTTACACTATGATAATAATAAAGTCGGAACCGGCACAAAAGTGAATCTGTCATGGCTTTCTACCTACTCAGACACCTAAAAATCAATTAAAAGAGGATTACAAAAAGATGAATAAAACATACAATTGGATAGGTAACAAATAAGTCGAGTGTGTCGAAACATGCAGAATCTTGGGAAATAAAGTGCAAATACGTTTTTACCATCGTAAATGCTTTTGAGCCTTTTTATCCGAAATTTCCAGTCACCAATCTGTAACATTCTTAGTGAATAGTAAATTTTCTAGAAATTTTCTTACCTGAGTGCAGGTATTTTTACCTTTGTTCTCTCTTAATATAGTTGCTAGCTAGCCTTCTTGACCCTGTTTTTAGTAATGAGCGTAATCACCAGGTATTGCTAGTTAATTACACATGGTAATCTAAGCTCGTAACTATATCCAACCACCTCTGCTTTCAGTAGTCACATTAACTACTGATTGGGTCTTGGTTCAAAACTGATCGGTACCAACACCCAGTTTTATAACAGGAAACCAAATTTCTGAGTATATTAGAGGGTTCAGTTACCTACAAGTCATGCCAGCTTAGGTAGGCTGCTAGTCAATGAAATCTCAGCACGAATGCAAAACTGTTGTTTGGTTTCCATCAAAGTGCGTCAATTGTTGCACTAATGAGAAATCTAGGTGTACATTTAGGATCAGGTGCATTGTTTATACCGCAGTTGTACTGTAAGACTTAGAAACAAGTTCTTTGTAAGCGGAGGTTATGTATAGGTTGCGTGCATTTGATCATATGTCAATTTAAAGCCCTACTTGTATGTCAAGGAATTTCTGACTGAATAATATTGTTGTTTGGCCCATAGTAATAAGTTAGTAAGTTAAAACAGTTGGTGATGTCGTGAGCACGTGCTACTCGTGTTTACCGTCTTCCTATCATAGTGTACCGTGTCGAGCAAAGGAACCTGAGAGTATCCTCACGGTTGTCGGGCCGAAATATCGTACCAACTAATAAAGTCTAGTGAATACTCTTACTTGTACAATAAAATTTCCGCTTTGTGGTTGGGTCCTCAAAGTAACCAAAGTCTGTTGGATTACTTTAGACGATATGACTTTAAATCGGTGAAAATGGAACCATATCATACTTTCCTCTATGCCTAGTATGGTTTGCATTTTATTATCTGATGAACCCTAATTCGTGTAGCTATGCTAGTTCCTAGCCAATATTGACACCATTATCACTTTTTATCCATGGACTATTTATTTCTTTGTACCATGCCATTATAAAATTTCAGTCTGAACCGATACACAGTTGGCTGAAGTTTAAGGTTGTTCTTGTTAGAAGAGCAGGTGATCAACAGTGTAAACGGCATTTATATTTCAGGTTAATACTCATGGACTGACAACAGCTGGAGAAACATGGGAAACTTAAGAGCATTGGACAGCCCCTTCGTCCTAATAGTGTTCATTAGTGACTGGCTTCGAAAGGTGATTCCGACGTTCTAATGAGAAGTCGTAACTGGTGGGACAAACCAGTCGGATATGAAAACAGATACTCAACGACAACACTGGATGGAGGTGGCGCTATTTCGTGTACCGACAGAAGTAGGAAATATAGACTATTGTATTCTGATCCAGTAGCTCAGCGGAAACGCACTGGCCATTGAACCTGAAGGCCTTGACAAAGTCATTTGTGAGCATTGCCGAGGAGTCGCATCCTGGGGCGAAGCAGCTGTTCAGTTCTCCCAGGTTTCAAATGTTCCTCCAACTGCTGTCAATCAGTGATCAATGGTAACCTGAACTCAATAAATAAATCCCCACCAACCTGCAAGTTGAATTAGTATTTAGATTCATGGCATATTTTTACACTTCCACCGCTTTCCGAGTCATTACGACAACTGTCACTCAGTAAATGACGTGTTTCTTTTCTTTTTATTCATAGGCCCGATGTACATAATACCTTCATTGTAAGTGCAAGTTTGTATCCATGCTATGCAACCTTATTCAGTGAAAGGATTCAGGGAGTGATTACCACAACTATCGCCTATTTGCTTGTGTTTTTCTCTTGGCTTTTTCTTTCCTTCAAAATTTACACTAGAATGTCATCTTGGCCGTTAGATTTTAAAGAACAGTCAAGACTATATGATGACTTAGACTATGATATCGATTATTTACTTTTTGGTAGATATGATAAATTGACTAACTGCGCCACCAACTGGGCTCCTACACAGTCGTCATTCGTTCTTCCAGAATCAATAAATTCATCTGCCTATATGTTGAATGATCAAATGTATCCCATAAATTCAGTCATCCCTTCTCGACAAGTTGCTACTAGTTCTTGTCGAAACTCCGATTTATTTTATGATAATTTCAGTTATAAAACCTCGAACCTAGGTCAGTTGCTTGAAGAAAATGTTATGTTCTCAAAGCATTCTGCTCATAATAGCATTAATCATGATGGTAATGATGCTGACGGCGATGCTCAACCCAAACTGAACTTCACCGATCCACTGATGACAGATATTGCAGTTGGGGAACTAGGTGAGTCTATTTCCCAATAATAACTTTTTTGTTGTATCAAACTGTTTCGCTTTGTAGTCGCTTAGCGTGTAAATTAATCTCAAACAAAGTAATTTTCCTTCTGTTCTACTAACTAGTAACACAGACCGTTCCCAGTTTTCGGCGTTGACCTATGTATGCTTAGAGTTGACTTTAAACCAGTGAGTCACAGGTTTAAGCCGTGCTCCACCTACCAAGGTTCGGGCATTCAAATAGTATCAATAGCCATCACATTATAGGTGTGGCTCATTGCCTACTGCACGAATGTGCACAAGATCTCTGAATGCATTTCGACGTCTTCTTCATCATACTTCTGTTAACTAATTTCTTCCGTCATACAGAAGATAATAGCTTATATAGCTTCAACCAAATAACACCGTATTACACAAAACTTGCTCTGTAACGAGGTTTAAAACTTCAAAACGTAGAAAACTTCATAATGCAATCATACTTTTTAATTGAATTATGTTTTTTGGAAACGAAACTATATTTCTTGAGGAATAATTTACAGGTTAAGTTCTGGCAAACTATGTGACGAACTCTTCATGTCAAGTCACTTTGCCAGCGAGTTTTTCAATTAAAATATGCTCCTTTCAGTAAAAATGAAATCTACAACATAGTGAAGTTGCAAAACGCACTTAGAAACACAAATCCCCAACCAAGTTTCTCAAATTTTCGTTCTTGTAATTTGTTTTAATTTGAATGATAACATGATAAGGAGGCTCTGAATTGTAGCATGTATGAATACTGCACGTTTAGCAATGACCCTTAAGAAATGAGCGAACATTTGGCTACATTTGGGGTCCACTGAAATCATTTACATTTCATACCAAAGTTTGAGTAACAGGGACACCTGTTTCTTCGTATGACCTTTATTCTGTAGTCCAAATTTGGTACGTGACTTCTTTCATCAGGGTATTCTCTTCTTAGACACTAACGAATTTGCCAGTGAATTTTCACTTCATCATCAAGCTATTTATTCTAACTCGCATGGTGATATGACGGACTATGGAAAATTCCTCTTTACTATCACTGCAGTTATCAGTGTTCATTGGAGGTCTATAATCCGCATGTTTTGCTCAACCAAACGGTTATTATTGCTCTAGAAATGGCTTTTCTTTTTTGACTCCTTGATTTTATTTTTCTTTCAAAGATTTTAAAGTTCATTTTGAATACTCATAAGTAGTCTCCTTGAAACGATGAAGTTGAAAAGTTTCATCTCTTTAAACGATATCTGGCTACATAACAATCTTGTTAAGAACTAAACCTCTTGGTCATTTCAGTATGCAACATACCTTGAACTCCCGAACCACCGTAGGAATTTAAGGTCACAGACTCGATGAGAGTAGCCTCAATAGTTTCATTGTTAAATGTCGTCACTGGATCTCATTATCGACTAAGCTAAATGAGGAAACAGAATGCAACCTAGGTCAGGCGCTGGTGGGTACCTTTTTGTGCCACAAGATAGTTAGCATACAAGGTTGTCTGGTCAACATACTTCTTCAAGAAAGACGATAGAATTTCGTATGGTCAAAACTATGAACTAACGAATCCTACTATCTACACTTTGAAAAACAGTTCGTCTATAGAATCTAACCCCAAAAGAGATCAATTAGAACCTAAACAGCTAATGTGTGACGTCTTCAAATGTAAACACAACCTGGGCTCGAGTTGCCTAAATAGTAACACCTATCCTAGGGTTTTAAATAATAACGGCTGATGTGCGTTTGTGTGTGTCACCAGTGAATGAAACCTCTGCTGAGAGAATCCTGTTAATCACCTTCAAACATTTTGTACTAGTCACCAAGCTAACAGGTCATAATTTCAGTCAAACAATCAACTATTGGTCACCTATACAACCAACAAGTAAGAAGTGTCCTTTTTTATCTTACCCTCTGTTCGTGACCAGTGTCTGTCAGTATATAGAGGTTCTTGTACGGATGCTTCAATATTGCATGTAACCACATTCTGACTACATAACTGGTAGTGGCAAGCAGGGGAATCCAGGACTCAATTTTCAGCCTACTGGAGGGAGACTCGTCAATTGATTTTACTTGCATTTCATCCTGTTGGTGTTCCCAGGAAGGTTCAGACTCATTGCTTATGGCTTTCGTGTTTTAAGCGGCACTTACTGATTCAAGTCTCAATGGAAACACTAGGATGGTGGGATACAAGTACATTTAACTAGTGAGTCTCACTTTTTGGACACAGCATGTGACTAAGACTTTTTGAAGAGAATGATCACCATGAGCTTAACTACTTACGTGAACTGACAATATGGTATAAAGCTCTGGCTGTATCTTTGTCACACTGTTCCCACTGGGATTTCAAATCCAACTATCAGTTGCTCTGAACAACAGAGTAATAATCTGACTATGCTACTGACCTATCAGAATTGTCTCCTTTACAATCCTCACTGTTTGTTACTGAAACTGTGATCTTTCGCTGTGCCCTCGATTAGATCCAATTGACCAACATGTCTGTGTTGACAATAAAGGCTGCTTTACTCTACGATACCTCGATATTATCATGATTTTTTTTTCAGTAGTATTTAACAAGGGAGCTTATGACTGATCGACCTTTGACAAAAAAATATAGTAGCATATATGTATCCGCTCCAGTGAGGAGACGCTGTTAATATTTCAGTAATTATTTACCAGTCTATAGAAATTCACTTATTCTGAATGCTTTGTTTCTCAACACTCCGTGAACTGAATGCGCTCAAATACTAATAAGATTGGTCAATAATGACGACAATTTCTATCCAGTATTAAAGTTGTGATCTTGTTGTGGAAATCCATTCGATCGATAGTACCCAGCTACACTCGCTTTAGTCAACGGTACATTTCCATAATTATTCCCTTCTGCCTTACTTCACTCTATTCAGAGGTTTCTGTGTATGATCGTTGGTTGGTTTGTTAATTCCATAAATGTATTTGTATGAACATACTTTTATTTCCTAAACTCTAAAGTGTATCGATTAGATATGACATATGATACAAGTCATGTGACCTTTTTTTCTTTAAAATTGAACACACCCGTTTGTATGAAAATGTGCGTGTGCTTACCTATTGTTAGCTAATATATATGTACACAAATACGTATACAGACAGAGTACTTGTTTGGATTTGATCGACCTTGTAACACCCCTGGTTATCATCTTATTCACGAGTGAAGTCGTAATCATCGCGTATGTGACGAGATTAACTAAATTAAGATTAACTCCTGCTAGGTGGGCACTGAAAATGAGACGTTTTGTCGAACCTTTATGATCTACATTTCCTTTCAAGGCACTTTTCATCACGGATAGACCAACTAGTGAAATCTTCAAACAAAAAAACATTAAATAGCTGTTTTGCCCCCACTTAGGAACTCTTCAGCGACGAGCTCATTGCCGTTCGCCACTGATCTAGAATCCGACGACCCACATTTCCCAGTCTTAGTTACCTTGCTGAATATTACGATCGTCATCTAGTACAGTGTGTCAACACTTACTCTCTAACCCATTCCGATTGACTTCGCAAACCAAAATTTCTCATTATACCTCTTGAACGATTTTCATATTTCTGCACAATGTGTGTCAATTAGATGCCAGGTGATTCTACCGTTAAAATTGTTCTGTTGCCTAAGTCGTAAACTATTTATAACATATTCAAGAAATTTGAGACAGGCACTTCTTTCTGTCCTTTCAACGTACCCTCTTAGATAGCTACACGCAAATTAATATACACAGTTGGATGTACCACAACAAGTGAACCCGTTGACTTTTCACTGCAGTAGTGAACACATTCGGTGCAAAGTAGCTGGACCTTGTAGTTTGGCAGCAGAATTTGATAAGGATAGAGGTATGAAATTACTGAATAGAGTACCGAATATACCATGTAGCACATAAGAATGGGAAGTAGTCTCGTTAAACCGGTTTTAGTTCATTAATCATTCCAGTTTACAAGAAAGGAGAGAGTCTTGTTTTGACATCTATAGAGGAGTCAGTTTAACTAACCTCGTGTCCGAGATTCTAGGATCTGTAGTAATCCAACGCCTAACTTCTATAACCCATGGTTGTCATTCGTTATATTCTTGAAGTGACTATTTGATATAACCGAAGTTATATACATGTCTGGACGCTTAAACCTGAAGATTCCACCCCTTGATAGATGCTCAGTTTCTTGATAAATGGAAAAGGTGGCACGATAACCTCAACAAATATGTACAAAATATAATGGTTTATATGTATTTACACTTGATCTTGACTATTTCCAGGCCTTCCTGGAAATAAATGTCCTATTGATTCTCATCCCTTCAACGAGTCTGATATTTACACGTTGGTTTACGTGCTTTCTCTCGAAACTTCGGAGGGAGACGATTGGTTGTAAAAGGTATCAGAGATAAACAGCTTCTTGTGAAGATTTTGTCAATCTTTCTATATACTATAACACTAGCTGGAGCTCGAGAAACCCAGTGATGTTTCAGACCAGGATGAGGGTGCATCGATCGTATCCTCAGTATTTGTCAGGTTATGGGACACAAACTTACCGGTGGCTGACACCTACCATATTTCTTGACCGGAAGACGGTATTTGACCCTGTCGACTGTGATGTATTGTGGCAGTACCTCACTATACAGGAGTATCAAACAGTTATGTAACCTTAATCAAGACTGTCTGTTCGAACTAACACTGTAGTGTAGGGGCTTTTGGAGAGTTGTCATCAGATTTGACGACAGCCAGTGGTGTCCTCCAGGAATATCCTCTGTCACCGTTTCCGTTTAACTTCATCAGGAATGTATAAATGGACAAAATCTTAGGTACGTTTGACCTGACGTGGATTGATCAACTCCCTAGAGGTCATCCAGTTAACTTGGGGTACACAGACGACATTGTCCCGTTAGGTGAATACGCCAACAAAATGTAAGGTCTTATGAACGTGGTGGGCATTAATCTGAGTATACTTGGCATGAGTTTAGCCTCTGTCAAAAATAAGTTG